GGAGGTTCCTCAAAAAACTAAAAATAGAGCTACTATATGATCCACTATCCCACTCCTTGGTATATACCGAAAAGAAGGGAAATCAGTATATCAAAGAGATATTTGCACTGTTATGTTTGTTGAAGTACTATTCACAATAGCCAAGATCTGGAAGCAACCTACATGTCCATCAGCAGATTAATGGATACAGAAAATGTATTTGTACATGATGGAGTACTATTCAGCCGGAAAGAAATGAGATCCTGTCATTTGTAACAACATGGATGGAACTGAGGTCGTTATGTCAAGTGAAATAAGCCAGGCACAGAAACACAAACATTGCATGTTATCACTTATTTGTGGGATATAAAAATCAAAACAATTTAACATATGGAGATAGAGACTAGTAGGATGATTACCAGAGGCTAGGATGGGTAGCGGGGGTGAAGGGGATGTGGCGATGGTTAATGGGTACAAAGAATGAAAATAATAAATAGAACCTAGTATTCAATAGCACAACAAGGCAACTATAGTCAAAATAATTCAATTGTACATTTAAAAATAACTAAAAGAGTATAATTGGGGCCAGGCACGGTGGCTTACACCTGTAATCCCAGCACTTTGGGAGGCCAAGGCAGATGGTTCATGAGGTCAGGAGTTTGAGACCAGCCTGGCCAATATGGTGAAACCCCATCTCTACTAAAAATACAAAAATTAGCCGAGCGTGGTGGTGCACGCCTATAGTCCCACCTACTTGGAAGGCTGAGGCAGGAAAATCGCTTGAATCCGGGAGGTGGAGGTTGCAGTGAGCCAGGATTGCGCCACTGCACTCCAGCCTGGGCAACAAAGCAAGACTCTGTCTCAAAAAAAAAAAAAAAGAAAAGAAAAAAGAAAAAAAGAAGAGTATAATTGGATTCTGTGTAACACAAAATATAAATGCTTGAAGGGATGGATTTCCCATTTTCTATGTTGGGATTATTAGGTATTTTGTGCCCTTATCAATATATCTCCTGTACTCCATAAATACATACACCTATTATGTACTCACAAAGTTAAAAAATTAATATTAAAAAAGATATCTGCACTCCCATGATCATTGCAACATTATCCACAACAGAATTGATACGGAATGAAACTGTCATCAGCAGATATACAGGTAATAAAAATGTTAATATACACAATGAAATACTATTCAACTTTTAAAAAGAAGAAAATTCTGTCATTTCTGACAACATAGTTGAACCTAGAGGTCATTATGTTAGGAGAAATAAGCCAGGTATAGAAAACAAATACCAGATGATCTAATTTATATGTAGAATCTAAAAAGTTGCAGTCTCTGAAACAGAGAAAAGAGCCTGGTGGGGTGAGAGGATTGGGGAGATATAGGTCAAAAGACTCAAAATTTCACTTAGACAAGAGGAATAAGTTCAAGAGATCTACTGTATATAATGGCAACTATAGTTAATATATATTTGAAAATTTCTGAGATAGTAAAGTGTTCTCACACAAAAGAATAAATATTTGAGGTAGTGCAAATGTTAAATAGTTTGATTTAGCCATTCTGCAATGTATACACATATCAAAACATCATGTATACCATAAATATGTGCAATGTTTACTTGTCATATCAAAACATCATGTATACCATAAATATGTGCAGTTTGTCATATCAAAAACATCATGTATACCATAAATATGTGCAATGTTTGCCCAAATATCAAAACATCATGTGTACCATAAATATGTGCAATGTTTGCTTGTCATATCAAAACATCATATACCATATATCAAAACATCATGTATACCATAAATATGTGCAATGTTTACTTGTCATATCAAAACATCATGTATACCATAAATATGTGTAATGTTTACTTGTCATATCAAAACATCATGTATACCGTAAATATGTGCAATGTTTACTTATCATATCAAAACATCATGTATACCATAAATATGTGCAATGTTTACTTGACAAAAAAATTTTAATGAAAATAGAGAACTAAATAAACACTGAATTTAGAAAACAGTACAGAACAATGGAGAAAGTCCTGAAGAAATATGAAGGAGGGAATTAATAAAGATTAGGGAAAAATCAGTGAAACTGAGACAAAATGAGGCACAGACAGTAAGAAAAAGAAGTGAAGATAAGAATGTTTGTTAACCCAAAAGTTAGTTATCTGAAAAGATTGGTGACATCAATACAATAAAAGGACTGTACATGAAAGATAAGCGGTATAAATAAATAAAACGTTGAAAAAGGGAAACAGCTACAGATAAGAAAAAGACTTTAAAAATAATAGTCATTATGAAATTATGTTATTAAATTTGTTAATCTAGGCAAAATGGTTAAATTTCTGAAATAGATATATTAAAATTGACACAAGAAGAAATGAAAGTTAAATAAAATAACAACCAATGTTCATGACCAGCCTGGCCAACATGGTGAAACCCCATCTCTACTAAAAATACAAAGCAATTAGCCAGGCATGGTGACAGGTGCCTGTAATCCCAGCTACCTGGGAGGCCGATACAGGAGAATTGCTTGCACCCGGGAGGTGGAGGTTGCAGAGAGCTGAGATTCTGCCATTGTACTCCAACCTGGGGAAGAAGAGTGAAACTCAGTCTAAAAGAAAAAACCAATTAAATAATAATAAAAAATAACAACCAGCAAATAGGTTGAAACAGTACCCAAAGACAAACTACTGTCTTTCCCCCATCCATCTGTAAAGAGAATTCCAGACTAAAAAGTTATTATGGGTAAGTTTTAACCAAGTATTCGAGAACTAATATCTGTTCTATACAACTGGCTCTATAAACAGATAAAGAAGGGAAGTTGCCTAATTTTTTTCTGGAACTAACATAACCTTAGTTCTAATTCTTAAAGTATAATAAAATATATATGTATTCCATTTTCTTTTTTTTTTTCAAGGACAGAGTCTCACTATGTTGCCCAGGCTAGACTCGAACTCCTGGGCTCAAGCAGTCCTCTAGGCTCAGATGCTGGGACTATGTGCCTCTGTGCCCAGCTTAAGAAGCCCATTTTAGTTATAAACATATGTAAAAAAATCTTACTTTAAGTAAATCTAACCATGAGTTTAAATCATGGCAGTGAGACACCAGAAAAATTGTTATGGTAATTCATCTTATTAATGGACTAATGGGGAAGTAAATCTTACTAGAGGCAGAAAAAGAATTTTATTGTTCAACTTCTATTCACATAAGATAGTAAACTAGAAGAAAACCACCTACACTTCGTAAAGGCTTAATAAAGCAAGCATTATAATGGAAAAACTTTAGAGGAATTTACATTAATAGCAGAAATAAGAGATGGATGTTCATTAATATTGTCACTGTTTGAAATAGTGCTTCAGGTCCTGAAAAGTGTTAAGAAAAGGAAATAAGAGATTTCAGGATTGGAAGAGAAGAGGTGAAAAATCATCATTATTTGTTAATGATAGGATTATCTACACAGGAAACCCAATATAATCAAAATATTAAAACTAATATAGGAGTTCTGCCAAATAGCTGTCTATAGATCAACTTATAAAATGAGCAATTACTAGTTGGAAAATATAATAAAATGTAAGTGCTATTCTCAAAAGTAACCCAAAGTATCTAACAATTCATGTACTAAGAATTCACAGGATCTTTTTAAGTAAGATGTAAAACTTTGGGTAAGCAATCAATGAGAGATACGCCCTATGCATGGGTAGAATTACTTCCTATAATAAAGATATCAATTTTCCATAAATTAGTTTATAAACCTAATGCCATAACAATCAAAATTTTATGTGCAAATAAAATACCAATAAATCCATTTTGAAAAAAGAAGAGGAAAATTTGCCAGCAGGCAAGAATAATTAAAACTAGGATGGAACTTGAATAACAGCAGCAAAATAGACATATCGAAGGGAATCGATAGTAAAATAATAATATATATGCATTTACAGTGATATTTATATGTGAACTTGACATATGATGATAAAGTGGCACTACAATTAATATGGAAAGGGTGGGTCCGACAGGATAGAAAAATTAACTCACCAGTGGAATAAATTAAAAACTGGACTCCTGTCTTTCATCCTACAACATGACATGCCATGTCTTAATTGTGTTTTAAAGGGCTGTTGCATGTCATCAGGGATGAGGTAAGAGTTGAAGCAAGAGATTACTTAGGTAGCTTTTTTTTCCCCTTTTTTTTGAGACAGAGATTTGCTCTTGTTGCCCAGGCTAAAGTGCAATGGTGGGATCTCCACTCACCGCAACCTCCGCCTCCCGAGTTCAAGTGATTCTTCTGCCTCAGCCACCTGAGTAGCTGGGATTACAGGCATGCACCACTACGCCTTGCTCACTTTTTATTTTTTAGTAGAGACGGGATTTCTCCATGTTGGTCAGACTGGTTTTGAACTCCCGACCTCAGGTGATCTGCCCACCTCAGCCTCCCAAAATGCTGGGATTACAGGCATGAGCCACCACACCCAGCCTAGGTAGCTATTTTTATGGCATATTCACAATAATGGTAGTTTGGACTAGAGTGGTATCAAGGGAGATGGCACAAAGTGTGCAAATTTTGACTTGTTCCCCTAAGCTCTGAACTCATGTCCAACCACCTATGAGGCATCCCTATCTGCAGTCCTATAGGTCATGTATACAAATGTGTCTAACACTGAACATATTTTCTCCATACAAATCTACTCATCCTCTTGAGCGTATTATTGAATATCAGTACTAGAGACCTGGTAGTCATCCTTTAATAACTTTGATAGTCCTTATCATATCCCCACTGTTATTAGTTTAAATTGAGCTCCTTATGCTGCATCTGTTATAGCAGTAATCTTATTTAACTGTCAACCTTCCACTGAAACTTATACCTTTAACCAGAGATGCAATTAGTGAAAACAAAATTTGGACTTCACCTTATAGTGACTTTGTCTTTTTCTACTGTGCTTTAAAATAAACCTCATTTCTTAGTGTTTCAAATGGTTTACTAAGATACTTAATAGATCTTGTTGTTTTAGTCGGAATGTGGAACAGGGGCTTCGAGGGACACGCACTACTACTGGACATTATAATACAATTAGCCGAATGGATAGACATCGTGTCATGGATGACCATTATTCTCCAGATAGAGACAGGTAAATATGATTAAATACTATTAGACCTTATTAGTAATATAATCACTGCTTTCAGGAAGGGGTTACCATAAAATGTTTTCACATATTCCTTTATCTTAGTTTCTAAAACAATGTTTTTCTGTTACAACGCTTACATTATTTCTTATGACTGCCACACTGTTAAAAATAAATAAACACAACCTTTTCTCTGGTAAGAAAAAAACAAAATTATCTTTCTCTTGCCATTTTGGTTTTTTGTTTAATCCAACCAGTTAAGTTAGTGAATCTATATAAGTGATTATAATGTTAATTATAGTGAAACCAAGATGTTTTATTTTTGTCATAACCAATTATTATATATAAATACTTTCATGAAACAAATATTTTAAAGTCTTTTACATTCATCAGAGAAATTGGTGTGACTTTTCACATATAGAAGTATTGAGACAGAGTCTGATTTGTTTAGGAAACATTTTATGATTCATGAAGAGGTTTTTCCTCATGGCTTTCAGTAAACCTTTTAAGCATCTTAAAGATTGATTGCTGTATTTGGAAGAGCTCTCTGAATTTGCTCCATTAAATGTGACAAACTTGGAAGTAACATGGTATGTTATAATGCTTACATTAACTATTATTAATATTTTTAAGTTAAGCAAATTGATAAACTCTAATTCATGCTTTGGTTATACGTGAAGTAAGTGCCATTATATTTCCCCAACTCTTCAAAGGATATGATAAAATAATGAAGGAACTCAGAAGTTCCTTTGTATGCATCCTAAACTGATTTTAGGAAGAACATTTGGGGGCTTTTAAATAAGCTGATATGAGAAATTACTGTTTACATTTATACACTTAATTTTTTTGTCTAAATTAAGATTATACTTAATTCATGCTTATAATTTCACTGTGATTTAGTATACTTCTCCAAAAGTAAAGAGGGGATATCATAGTCTTCAATAGTGTCTAACAAGTATTGGTTTTTGTGCCTGAGATCTAAGAAGAAATTATATATAAGAAGTTATTAAATTAATATTGCTTTTAGTGATAAATGAAAGTTAATGTATTTTATTTTCTTTTAATTTGCTTAACTTTTTCTTAGTAATCTATGTCTTTAGGGGTAATTACAGACATGCTACCTATAGAAGTTGATGCTTATCAAGTGCAATACTGTAATAGAAGAGTAACTATGTTGGCATGATTAGGAGTTGAAAGGAGTCATATTAGGATGAATGAAGAGGTATTTTAGTTGCCTAATAGCATTTTAATGAGCTTGATTGTTTCTGGAAATTATTTATATACCAAGTCATAAACTTCTTGTTCCTTGAAGGTTTGTTAATGGAAATGATGAGAGAGAAAATTCTGAAATGAATTTAAACTGGCTTCAATTTTATGTGAAGTTTTATTTTAATGAAAAAATGGACTTTGTTTTCTTTAAGACAAGCAAATACTGTCTAAATCTTGCAGAAAAAGATAAAATTAACATCTAGAATTATAAATAAAAATGATTGCTATCATGTAAAATGCATAATACTTTATAAATATTTAAAGGCAAATGACCCTAGGTTTAATGGCAACACAACTTCCTATTAAAGCCTAGATGATTAATCCTTGGTATTAGTTAATATGGTCATATTAGGTAATTATCATGTCAGAGAGATCCTACAATGTGCATTTTTATGTCTATCCCAATTTATGTCTACAACTGAAACGTCATTTTTTATTTAAAAAATTTATAAATCTTTTAGTTTAGCAAAAATGTTCATATAATTGTTTTCTGAAGTTTTCAAGAAAATTGATCCATGTGGTTTTTACTTCTCTTTTAGACCACTGTTGATGCCAGATCACAATTTATCTGAATTGTGAACTGCCTTAAATCCTTTTTTCAAATAAGTAAAATAGAATTTTATTTAAATAGGAATATAAAACCATTTCTAATATTATTTGATTATCTGTGTAATCATTTATTAATAGGAATTAAAAAGTTCAATATTTTATATATATAGTCTATCACATTATTAAGCAACAAGTTCTTAATTTCTGTTTTATCTTAATATTCTAAGAGTTTTGGTAATAAAATGCCTATGGGTGCATTATGATTTTTAGAAAATAAGAATACTCTAGAACTCTTACAGTGAATTTTCATGAATAGCATTTTAATCAATAATAATGTTGATTAAAAAGCCTAAGAGAATTTCCTTTGAGATAATAATAGTATTTTAGGTCTTTTGAGAGGTACAATAAATAACCTTTCTTGTCAGTAAGAATTGATGCACTGGACTAGAATGTATTTTGTTGAATGTAATATTATTTTATTGAATCTTTTTCATAGGATTTGAAACCAAATGGCCTTGATTTTGAATGCAGGATTTAACCTCTTGCTACCTGGGTCTTTGGGAAAATTAACCTCTTTGACACTTGATTTTCTTATCTGTAAAATTAGAATATCAGTATCAACTTTACTGACTTGTGTAGATTAAATGACTCGTATCAACTTTATTGAGTTGTGTAGATTAAATGACACTGCCTCCAATTGTATAGTAGGTACTGAAAATTCCTGCATTTTAAAAGGCTATATTCACTTGCAAATAATTTACATTTAATGTGCTTAGTAATCAAGAAAAAAGAGAGAGAAATCAGCCAGTTCATGTAGTGTTGTTGTTGTTTTGTTTATTTGTTTGTTTTTTGAGACAGTCTCTCACTCAGTCACCCAAGCTGGAGTGCAATGGAGTTATCTTGGCTCACTGCAACATCTGCCTCCCAGGTTCAAGCGATTCTCCTGACTCAGTCTCCCAAGTAGCTGTGCCACCATGCCCAGCTAATTTATTATTATTATTGTTGTTTTTTGTTTTTTTTTTTTTGTATTATTAGTAGATACGGGGTTTTGCCATGTTGGCCAGCCTGGTCTCGAACTCCTGACCTCAGGTGATCCACCCGCCTCAGTCTCGCAAAGTGTTGGGATTACAGGCATGAGCCACCACACTCGGCCCATGTCGTATTTTTGTTTTGTTTTGTTTTGTTTTGTTTAAGTTTTGTATATAATGAATGTAGGGCATGAATTGGACCTTGAAAAATGGGCATGTTTATTCAGGCAACACCAAGAGCAAGGATAGACTATATTGAATGAGAAACAATGCTATTTGACATTCATTAATGGTACTTGGTTAAACTTGGGTGGTGTAAGGAGAAGATATAGTATTTATATGCTTTCTATAGGTAATATAAAAATAATTTATACATAAAATTTTTATTAGGTCTTTCTCTGCATATCTCACTGTAGTATCATTAGTCAAAATCCTATTCTGCTTTGCAAAGTAAATAGATGCTTTACAAGTAATTTAGAAACCTAGATGCTAGGACTCAGCTAAAACAAGGAATTATTAAGCATATCTTTCATCTTCTACCTCCATTCCCCCGCTTTTTATACCATTGGTTTTCCGATAGGTCCTGGTAACTGCTACAACTAGGAACATAATTCTTCCTGAGGCAGACTATGTGGCCTTAGTATTAGAAATCAGTACAAAAATTAGCCAGGCGTGGTGGCAGGTGCCTGTAATCCCAGCTACTCAGGAGGCTGAAGCAGGAGAATCACTTGAACCCGAGTGGCGGAGGTTGCAGTGAGGCGAGATCGCACCTGGGTGACAGAGTAAGACTCTGTCTCAAAAAAAAAAAAAAAAAAAAAAAAATTATTTTAAGAGCTTTTTGTTTACTTGAGTTAGTTTACTATTAGAATAAGTATAGAGTATTAGTATTTCTGTAACATGTCAGAAGTACTCCATAGTATGCATTTTTATGTCTATCCTGGAGGCCAAAATACATTAGGGGCATTTATTTCCATAGAGTATACTTTTAGTATCATAAGAATATAATTAATACTGGCAAAAGATAAATTACTTTACAAACTTTTTTTCTCCTATACATTCAATTAATAAATATATATTCTAAAAAGGAAAATGCCCCATTATATGGACCACTGGCCTACCTTACACACTCATGCTATTTCTCTATTCCTTGTCAAGAAGTCACCTACCAGAAAGTATAACACATACTCATAACTATTTCACCAAAAAGAATAGTCTCTTTTTTCCTTTCAGTTGTCAACTGTGAAGGAAACATATCTCTAATAGTTTAAAATTATAAAGTAAATGAAAAAAGAAAATTCACTTTACAAAAATAATATAACATTTTATTTTACTTATTTTATTTGCTGTATTTCAGGAACATTTTAAGATAGTTAAATCATACTGAGTAGAATGTAAGGACTACAACATAAGGAAAACATTAACAATATTAAAGACACATGCCAGGCACAGTGGCTTATTCCTGTAATGCCAGAATTTTGGGAGATTGAGGCAGGCACATCACTTGAGCCCAGGAGTTCTCAACCAGTCTAGGCCATATAGTGAGACCCTATCTCCACACACACAAAAAAATAAATAATAAAATAAAGTAAAATTATCCCAGATGTGGTGGTGTGCACCTTTTTTTTATCTCAGCTACTCTAAGGTGGGAGGATTACATTAGCCCAGGGAAGTCAAGGCTGCAGAGAGCTGAGATCGCACCACTGTACTGCAGCCAGGGTGACAGAGCACGACCCTATCTCTAAATAAATAAATAAATAAATAAATAAATAAATAAATGAATGAAAATTTAAAAAGTTTTTGCATTAAGTAAGGGTTGTTGGAAACTATAGTTTTATTTAAGAATGGAATATTTTATCGCCCATTTTTGCAGTTCTTTTTTGTATGGACTAAAGTGATTCCTAAAGGGGACATTCGGCTAATTTAATATAGTAAAAGAACAATTCATTATAAATAGAATTTTGTGTTGTCTTTTTTTTTCTTTTGAGACGGAGTCTTGCTCTGTCCCCCAGGCTGGAGTGCAGCGGCGCAATCTCGGCTCACTGCAACCTCCGCCTCCTGGGTTCATGCCGTTCTCCTGCCTCAGCCTCCCAAGTAGCTAGGACTATAGGCGCTCGCCACTACGCCCGGCTAATTTTTTGTATTCTTTAGTGGAGACGGGGTTTCACCATGTTAGCCAGAATGGTCTCGATCTCCTGACCTCGTAATTCACCCGCCTTGGCCTCCTAAAGTGCTGGGGTTACAGGCGTGAGCCACCGCGCCCGGCCTTGTGTTGTCTTTAAAGATTCTATTGCTTAAGAATCCAGTGTCTAGAAATTGGATTAGTAATCTAGTTTAATACTTTAAATAGTAATTTTTTATCATGAGCCTTAGAATCTATGACTTCTTTATTTTGTTTTTGCTTTTTAAAAGTTAGTAAATATATTGTTTTTCTGTTTTTTTCTTTTACAGTGATTTACTGCTCAGATTGGACTAACTGCAGTTTTAATATAACTTACTTTATTTGTTTAAGTCATTATGCATATTTAAGGCACTATGCATACTTATTGCTCAAATTTTATAATGTCCATTAATTTTGGAAAAAAAGTAAATATGGTTCAGTGGAGAAGTGTAATATGTTTTAAGGTTGTACCAAGTGGATGCAGCAAAGGACTTTGAGTATGGCTATGGACCTTAGGTAGATTTTAGAGGGCTTACTAAAACACAAGGGTAAATTTTGTAAAATGTTCATGCATGAGTTTTATAGTTTTCAACAAAACCTCAAAGACGGTCATGACCAGATAATGTTAAGAACTAACATGACTAGAGACAGAAAAGAATAATAAAATAAACTGATGCTTGATAAAGGTGATTCTTGCTTAATGGCTGCTTTGGCTTTATAGGGACAAAGTTAATTATAAGACTCTTCAAGGAAACTATTAGAAATTGGATGATTATATATATATATGTTTTATAAATGTATAAATTTTAACAAGCTTTGAAGTTTACATATTTTCTGTTATTCTTAAGTAATTTTGGAGAAAACCTATTCCTTTTAAAGCAGTAAAGCCCAACATCACAACTGTTGGGTATTATTTCTCTTCTTCATAAAGCTATGAATACTTTTTTAAATATTTTCTTACATAGGCTCATAATCTTCCAGAAATTGGGTTAGTAATCTAGTTTAATACTTTGAATAGTAATTTTTTATCATGAGACTTAGAATCTATGACTAGAATGTTTCTATAATTATATGAACCACATATGAACCACTGCTGTTTTTTGAGAGAAGGTTCATCATGAGAACAGTATAATTTGGATTTTACTTTTAAGTGCAATCCAAAATATACTTGAATGGGTCAGCCATTGTGCACAAAGATTTAAAACAGACATTATCCTGGTCTAGCTGGACAAATTATCATATATCAACTAATTTTAAAATGTTGAAGCCTGTGTGGCAGAAGGATAATAATATTGGAACAGATTGGAGAAAAAATTACTTGATCGGGTGAACTGGAAAAGGCATTACAGAGAAGCTGGACTTCAAAAGTTGAATAAGACTGTGAAAAGTGAAGCAGTGGAGATGGAGAATGGTGGGCATTCTTGACAGAATGATGAACATGAACAAAGTCTGGAGTCAGGAAAACACATGATAATTTAGAGAATCTTAGGTAGTCTGTTGTACCTAGATAAGAGGTAGTGGTATGGGGAATGGAAAGGGGTAGAAGATGAAGATTGAAAGTAGTTTAGAACTTTTAGGGAATTTATACTTGTTTTTTGATATCAGGAACCAGTGAAGGATTTTTAGTGAGGTACCGATATGATCAGAAAGCATAATATGCAAATAAACTTCTGTAGACAGGATGAAGATTGGATTGAGTCAAGGGAAGACTGGGGTCTGAAGGTAGGAAGACCTAAGAGAGGGTTGTTTCAATAGGCATAGTAAACCTGATTTAAGGTGGTGGCAAGACAAAAGGTAAAGGAGAGAAATCTGAGTTATTCAGGCATCAGAACAAGCAAGGTTTGTAAATCAATTGAATGTGAAAAATGAGGAAATGGAGGAGTTAAATTCTGAGACTGTAAAACTTGGTTTATTAAATAAATATTTTAATCCTTAGTTGAAGTTCGAATTGCAAGAGATTACAAAAAGAGGAATAGCTGAAGTATTATATTAAGTTCCAAAGGGAGATTAAAGAATTATATTAGAAATTAGAAGGGACTTCAGAGATGATGGAGTCCTATGTTTTGTAGCAGTACCTGAGAGACTACTATGACAGGTAAAAATGAGGCTAAATGGATAAGGATCTAGGCTTCTTACTCTCTTTAGCCAGCATCATTCTGATATTATTTGATTACTGTATATTGATTCTATATCAAATTTTGTTTGGAAAAAAGTGATCTGCTAAAAAAAAAAAAAAAAAAGAGTTTGAAAACCACTGCTTGAACCTCCTCATTTCACAAATTGGCACCAATGTCCAAATAGGCAAAGGGTATTGTTCCAGTCTCACAATGAACATGTGTTTTCCTGAAGTGTCTACCTGTCACTAAAGCATTATGTGGAGAGCCCAGAAGCAGATGGAAAAGTGTTGTGCCACCCAAAGAATAATCAGTTATAAAGCAGAGTTACTGTTTACACCATAAAAACAATTGCATTACTTAGAAAGAATGTGTTGGAATATAAGATCAGGAAATGAATCTTGGCAAACCACTGCCTCTCTACAGAGAAAGGAAATCCAGTACATTAAATGCATGAAGAACCAGTCATATAGGTGAGAGACCAGGCTACATATACAAATGTGTTAAGAGCCTGAGTTTTGAATTAAGAAAGCCCTGAGTTTGAAACCCAGTCCTGCCACTTACTATATAGCTCTGAACAAGCACTCACAGCCTCAGTTTATCTGTCTGTGCAAAAGTGGGAATAGTAGAACCTACCTCAAAGAGTTGTTATGAGAAGTAAATGAGATAATGTAGGCAAAGCTTTTAATGGTGTACTTGGCATATAGTTCATTGTTAAATAAATACTATGTTTAATAGCCAAAGAGGTTTTGGAAACCAAAAAAGGAGAGAGTATTAAAAAATAGAGGTTTGAAAATCAATGTCTAATACCAAAGGTAAGTGGACTATGATGAGGATTAAGAGGAGAAGAAAGAATTTTGGGGGGATTTCACATTCGTAAGGTAGCTTCGAGAGTGTGGTAGAAGCAGAAGTCAAATTACAGTAAGCTTAAAGCATGAAAGCAAAATCTGGCAGAGGTGGCAAGAATTGTAGGTGTGAATTTTAAGATGTTCTATATTGATAAGAAAATGAGCGAGATGCAGTGGCTTGAACGGAAGGAAAGGTTAGCAGGGGTTTTATTTTTAGGGTTAAGTGCAGTTGAGGAAGGGAAGGCAGAAGAGAATAATAAATGAAGCAAGGTCATATGGGAAGCAGGATTACAAGTAGAGGTATCTCTTTAGGTGCAGAAGACAAGGACAAGTGAAGATTTAAATGTATGTTTACTTTAGAGATAGAATTGTGGAAGTTGAGAGAGTTCAAAGTTCATTTCCATTGTTTATGGAAATATAATGATAAACTCCTAAGATCAATTGTTTTAGTATTAAAGGTTCTAAGAAAGTAGGAAATTTTAAATTAGTGCTTTGGAAAGAAGAGATGGGTAAAAGATCAGTGTGCTATTGAATTGCCTATGGTAGTTATGAGGCAAGAAAGGTAGCAAAGCCAATAGCATGTAATACATAATACATAATAAACATAGTGAATGGAAAAATGAATGACATCCAATAAATTTAATAAATACAATTAATAATCAAATAAAAGTAATCTGGATCAGTTTGCTCTTAATTAAATGGAATTGTTAAAGCCCTTTATAGTTATTTTTAATTATCAATAATTAAAAGAGAAATAGTTACCTTATAAATTTCCCAACGTTTATAAGTATTTGAAATTACTTCATTTATTATTTCCTTCTTAAACTTTCTGCTTATTTTATTTTCTCATCTCATCTTTCCTCCTAAAAAAATGGTAAAGCATCTCTATCATATAACATATTCTAGATGGTGCTAAAGATGTTTGAGTAATAATTGATAATGTTATATTTTTGTTGCATTTTATTTTAAAATATTTAGAATATTTTAACCTTTGGCACTGTCATATTACAATGAACACTGGGAGGAAGGGGCAAGCTTTCCAATAACAGTTTCCATTTGTTTTGCTTACTATCTGCCTATCTTTTTAAATCTCACTTTTTAAATTAAACTATACTTTTTTCACTTCTTTCTTGAGTCTTATTTATATTCTTGTTTCTGCCATGCTTGCAGTCATTTTCTTACTCTACCTCGCTCCAGATACAGTCAGACCATTGACCATCATCACAGGGATGACAGGTATATTTTTCTTACAATTGAGTCTGTTTGTGGAATTGCTTGTGCCTGTGTATTGATATGATATAGGTCACTTTTATTTCTGTTTTTATGTATATACATACATGGTTGTTAATGAAATACAGAAATATCACCCATATAAAATAACATGAAATAAAACATATTAACTAATTGTAGTAGGATATCAAAAATACAGTGTCCCTTTTGTAAATTAGGATCATCTCTTTGGTGATTCTAAAAATTTAGTTCACCAGGAATTATGGTTAACTCTCTATTATCCATAAAGATAGAGTAACAGTATTCTCTTTAAATTAACTCCAATTGACTACTCACCTTCCTCAGCAGAGTCCATAATTAGGTATTTAGATGGCATAGGTCTTGAAAACTCACTTTTCCACCTCACTACTCCAGAGTAGAGGAATCTGTCCTTGAAGTGCTTAGGTTGAACTGATTTGTTTGTGGTTACCTTGTCGGAGGTGGCTGTAATCTACTCCTTTGTCATAGTAGGTAATCCATATCTGCAGAGAATACTGAGTCTGTGAGAAAACACTTGTTCATTTCTACCCTACCACCATTTCTCTTTCCAAAGTGGGAATTTGCAGTGAATCATAGATAGTACAGCTACAATGCCTTAAGGAAATATAATTTACATTGGAGGGAAATCTCAGTTTCCTGGCATGTAACAGCAAGAGGGATGAACTAGAAAGAGAGGTTAATTAGAAAGAAAAGGGAGAGAAGATCTCTAAAATTTGAAAAGTTCTCAAGGCTGTATGAAGATTTAGAGATTTGAGCCAGTGACAACATTTGAGATCCTTTAGGTAAAGAAATAATGTGGTGGAAGGCTTAGCTAGTATAAATTAGGAATTATGTGCCATGGTTGGTCACCTTGACTATTGTTTCTAAGTGATTCGGAGTTATGTGTGACTTCCTTCATCCCTATGAAATTAACTAAGAGTCGATAATAAAAGAGTTTATAAAAATTATTAAAAACTAATGAGTAAATTTATAAGTATTTTATTTATATGGGTAAAGGTGAAAGGAAACATAAGAGATAATAGCAACTGCAATTTACTAATAACTTTTGTAATATCTTTCAGCAAATATAATTGAAATTTAGTGCCTTCCAGTTTATTATATGATAATGGTTATTGCTATATTTAATTTTCTTTTGCAATTTTTTACTTTTTTGTTATTCTGTTTCAATCCTAGTTATCTTTTGTTGTTTTTTGTTTTTACTGTTGCTATATATTACATTCCCATTATTTTTTACTTTCAGTAATTATACATTTACTTTACAAAAATATGGAAAAGTAGTTATGTAACTGTATTTTGATAATTGGCTAAAACCTTTTTAAAGGTGGGTGATATACACGAATGAGACATTACTGATTATAGACTTACTCTATAGACTCTGGTGTCTCTTCATTTCATTCTAAGTTAAAATCATATCACATCACTTTTTCAATAGTTTGTATTTTCTTAGTTATCAACAAATAGGTTGTTTGCTTTATGTTACTTAGTTTCTCCATTCACCAATGTAGCTAGAATTAGTTCTTGATCATCTCAATTTTGCACTTTTCCCCAGATTCTCAACTTCAGCCTAATTGGCCCATTTTGAAGAAGACATTTATGAATTGTCTTTTGGTGCCACAGTTTGGTTTGTGCTGAGGAAACAGAGATCATTAATGTTTATATTGAAATGTAACATGGAAAAATCTGTTTCCACAAGCAAGTTATCAAATATCTAATGTAGGATTTACTATGTATATTTACATGTATATGTAATATTTATTTTATATGTATTAAAGTATTTGCCTTGCCCTAGGACAACAGAAATTCTTGAGGGTCTAAGTCTAGTGACCTAGACAATATGGGTGGAACTCGTAAGAATGAAGTTCCTTAGTTTTTTTTTTTTTTAATATTTTGTACCCATTAACCAACCGCTCTTCATCTCCTTCTCTCTACTATCCTTCCCAGTCTTTGGTAACTACCATTCTATTCACTGCCTCCCTGAGATCAATTTTTTAGCTCCCACATATGAGTGAAAACATGCAATATTTGTCTTTCTGTGCCTAGCTTATTTCATTCAATATAATGTCCTCCGTTTTCATTCATCTTGCTAATCATCAATTTCATACATGATTTTATTCTTTCTTTTTTAGCTGATACTACATTGTGTGTATATATATCACATTTTCTTTATGCATTCATTTGTTGATGGACACTTAGGTTGATTCCATATCTTGGCTATTTTAAATAGTGCTGTAGTGAACATGGGAGTGCAGGTATCTCTTCAATATACTGATTTCCTTTCTCATGGATATATACCCAGCAAAGGGACTGCTAGATCATATGGTAGTTCCATGTTTAGATTTTTAAGAACCTCCATACTGTTTTCTATACTGGTTGTATTAATTTATATTTCCACCAGCAGTGTACGAGCATTCCTCTCCAGCACTTGTTATTTTCAGATTTTTTTTTATAATAGGCATTTTAACCTGGGTGAAATGATGTCTCATTGTGGTTTTGATTTGCATTTCTCTGATAATTAGTGATGTTGAGCATTTTTTTATATACCTGTTGGCCATTGTATGTCTTCTTTTGAGAAATGTCTATTCAAATATTTTATCCATTTAAAAAATCAGATTATTATTGTTATTTTGTGCTATTGAGTTCCTTATATATTCTGGTTATTAATCCCTTGTTGAGTGAATAGCTTGCAAATATTTTCTTCCATTCTGTAGGTGTCACTTCACCTTGTTTATTGTTTTCTAAGCTGTACAGAAGCTTTTTAGCATGATAGAATCTCATTTGTCAATTTTTGCTTTGGTTGCCTGTGTTTTTGAGGTCTTACTCAAGAAATCTTTGCTAGATAGAAGGAGTAAAATCTAGTGTTCAATAGCACAGTCAGGCAACTATAATTAACAATAACTTGCTGTATATTTTAAAATATCTGGAAGAGAAGATTTGAAATGTTCCCAACACAGTGAAATGTAAATGTTTGAAGTGATATATATCCCAATTACCCAGATTTGATCATTACATATTGTATGTTTGTATCAAAATGTAACAGTACCCCATAAATATGTATAACTATTATGTATCCATAATTTTTAAAAAATATTAGCTTTCTCCTAATTTTACTACATACAAATGAATGTGTATTAGTTACAACACAATGTAATAACATGACATCCTTGAATCTACTACCCAAACCAAGAACCAGGACATCTAATTATGTATCTCACATTTCCCTGCACTCTCCTTGCCTATTATATCCCTGTGCCTCTTTCACAGAAGTAATAAATGCTATGTTGAGTTTGCAGTGTAACTTCCTCTTTTTTTACTTTTTTTTAAGGGACTTTGATCATTTGTTATTTACTCTACTAACTTTCTAAGTTTCTCATCCTTCTGACCTCCATCCCAATCCACTTTGAGATTCTTGGGCTGATCTTTTTTGGACATGTGTTGAACATGTGAATGCTGACCTAGTAATCTATCCATTTTCCTGTATTTATTTCTGTAATGTTTTGTGCTTGTTATTTTTATATCTTGTACCTTTGTGTGTAATGCAAGTAAATACAACCACCCACTACCCTTCCTTGTTGCTGTTGTTTGTTGACCTCTTAGTAATATCATTTTATTCACGGATGATTTTAGAACCTGGCTTTAGTCTTCCTCAACATCACAATTCCTGCCATCAAGCCAGAGTAATGTCAGCATTTACCTCAATAGTGTATTTAGCACCCACTCACTTCCTTAACTTTCTCTAATGTAGTGAGCTTTATCTCCAATTCTACTTTGGTCAGTCACTCTCATGAGCATACTTCACATTTTATTATCAGTAGAAATTGTTCTAGCTCTGAAATCTTAATTTGAATACTATGCTCTTGGACTCCATGATTGCACACTTTTTTTCTTATTGTTTCATTAAGTTATTTCTACTTCACTTGTTCTTCTGTCTCAGTAGAGAATACTACTCTCTTGACCCCTTTATTTTCTTACTGTTAGCCTCCATCTTTCTTTATCTACTTACATATCCAGAAGTTGAATCCATTCTCAGAAATATCCTCAATGCTGTTGCTACATTGTTCTTCTTTTACGTATTTAACAAGGTTCAAACCTGGATTACTTTCTTTCTCTTGTAGAATGGTTTTTGGACTAGATTATCCAAATTCTTACTTACTTGAGTCAAAATAATTGACCACTTAAAAGTGGACAATAAAAAGTAACTTTTTCATTGAGAGCTGTGGGAAAAAAAAAGTAGCATCAGTATCTAAGTATTCAGTTCTCTAGCCTCGGTTTCAAGGTAGCATATACTTGCAACTGGAAATTGTTTCCTAGGAATAAAATATGTGTTAATAGCTTCAATTGGGCCATAGTTTGGCTATATGATATCTGGAACTTTCTAAATAAATGGGATGAATGCAGTAAATTCAACATGACATCTCCAGTTATGCCCACTCCATTAGAAGAAGCTGGACTTTCACTGGTCTACCGTAGTGTATAACATGAAAAATTATGAGGACTATCTCTTTTGGAACAGAAGAATAGAGACTTAAATAATGTTTGCTAAGCTTTTTTTATATTACTTCAAGAGACAATATTAATTAACAATAGAAATCAAAGCAAGTCTTCTGGCCAGGTTATGCTAACTAGTATGAAATAATATTTGGTTCATTGTGCCTTTTAAAATTCACTCATTTAAACAAACATGTTTAGGATGGATATCATGTTACCCTTTATTAATATCTCTATTAAAATATACCCTTTATTTTAATAAATATAACCTTTTTTAACATTTACCTTTGTATCCTACTTATTTTTCTAGTATTCATCCCTGCTTAGAGCTATACACAACATATTAAGGAACTACTAACATCTATTGTGGGCAGCTAGATTTTTATGTAAAGTGTCATGGAAGAGACAACAACTCAGCTGTATCTTAAAGAATAAATAGGAATTATTTAGATTCATGTGGAGATGATGGAGGATGTTTGTGA